TAAACAGTGTGGCAACAAAGGCAACTGCCTCTAAACAGTGTGGCAACAAAGGCACACAGTTTTTTTAATATACATTAAGTGCAAAGAACAGGTTTTTACTTTTATAACTTTTTGTGGAAATATAGACCTTGGCCAAACAACTGTTGTTTAAAACAACAAACAAGGTTCCTGTCATGATGTCTGTGCAGAAACGCAAGGTTACAACCTCTGTGAGAAAGGTGAGTGTCTATCTATGATATCTATTTATACGTTTATTTAACTGTAGCTGGTTATTTTCTGTCTCAAGCACTTATCTTGAACTTACTTGAAAGCATTACACTTAGTTAAGTAAGTGTTATGTCATCTTTCACTATCACTTTTAGCCATAAAGTTTTTTGCTGTTTGTGTTTACACAGAGCTCAATTGTTCGGAAGGTACCTGCAGTGAAGCCAACCAAAGTTGCACAAAAGACAAAGGATGATGAGGAACATGTGGATAAGGGTGTTGGCTTGGATGAGACTCAAGGTAAAGGACTTACTAAACCTGCAGATCAACTGGAGCTCACTGAGGCTGAGTTAAATGAGGAAATCACAAGGATCCTGAATGCCAATAACCCAAATGCACCCCAAAATGTTGTACGCTACAGCTTCAAGGAACAATCCTTCATGCCTGTTGTTGTGGATCAAATGGCTGTTCACTTTGTGTTGGAGGGAAGGCTTATACATCGAAACTCTGATGAGGCCAGAAGACTAAGGGCCATGGGGGATCTCCCAGAAGAGGCTGTAACAGTGGAAACAGGAACAGAACCTGATGAGGAGAAAACAGACACCCTGGCTACACCTGTAAAAGACGAAGGGGCAGTGGAGGAAGTTGGAGAAGAAGAAAGACCAGACAGTGTTGCCCTCAAAACAGACAAGAAGCAGCCGAAAATTACTAACCAGATCAACTTCAGTGGGAGGGTCACCCAGACCTTCAATAACCCACTAAGGGAAAAAAGCAGTCAGACTGTACGTCCTCCTTGCTGCGACTTCTCTGCCACTACTAATCAGTGGTTGATCTATGATGCGTACATGGAAGAGACACAAAAACAAGAACAAAATAAAGAGAAGCAGAAAGCCACACTACCAAAATGGTTGATGGAGCACAAAGACCTCACCAAAGTAGGAAAAGCAGTCAAGATGTCTGAAAGAATGGTCCATCAAAATACATTTGATGAAATAGCACAAAATTTCAAATACTTTGAAGATGCCTCTGATGAGCTCAGGGATGAGGAGGGCACCCTTCTCCCTTTGTGGAAGTTCCAATATGACAAAGCTAAAACACTGTCTGTCACTGCCCTCTGCTGGAGTACGAAATTTGAGGATCTGTTTGCTGTGGGTATGGGATCGTATGACTCCAGGAAGCAGGAAGGTGGCATGGTTGTCTTGTATTCGTTGAAGAACTCATCATTTCCAGAGTACATCTACCCCACCAAGTCTGGCGTCCTGTGTCTCGACATCCACAAGCAGCATTCTAACCTGGTGGTGGTGGGCCTCTATGATGGCTGTGTGGCCGTCTACAATTTAAACATTGAGGGAGTGGAGCCCATGCACAAGAGCATAGCTAAGACTGGTAAGCACACTGACCCTGTCTGGCAGGTACGCTGGCAGAACAATGACATGGACAACAACACCAATTTCTATTCTATGTCATCTGATGGCCGAGTTGTGTCTTGGACACTTGTTAAGAATGAGCTGGTCTACACAGACATTATCAGACTGAATGGTGCTGTATCTGAAGGGCCAGAAGATGCACAGCTGCCCATCTTCACTTATGGTAGAGCGTTTGACTTCCACAAACAGATCGACTCTCTCTTCCTGGTTGGCACAGAGGGAGGGAAAATACATAAGTGCTCGAAGACTTACTCCAGCCAGTTCCTAGAGACGTATAATGCCCACAGCATGACAGTGGACACTGTGAAATGGAACTACTTCCACCCACAGGTTTTTATCTCTTGCAGTTCAGACTGGAATGTCAAGATCTGGGACCATACCATCAATACGCCCATGTTCACCTTTAACCTGAGAGCTGCTGTCAGGGATGTTTCCTGGTCTCCATATTCCTCCACTGTATTTGCTGCTGTCACAGCAGATGGGAAGGTTCACGTTTTTGACCTCAGCATCAACGAATATGAGTCCATCTGTCAGCAGTCTGTTGTGGATGAAAAGACGAAGTTGACGCACCTGGAATTTAACCCTACCTATCCCATCATCACAGTGGGTGATGACAGAGGGTACGTCACCAGCTTCAAACTTTCCCCTAACCTTCGCACGAAACCCAAGGTAAAGAAGGGTCAGGAGGTGCCCAAAGGTCCAGAATTCGAAGAAGCCAAAATGGAGAAGCTGCTAAGTCTGCTGCGGCAAAGCCCAGTTTAATTTTTCTATCCCCAACACACAAACCTGATACCAGGTCTTAGGAGAGGCTCTCTGTGAGGTTTCTACATTCTTTTTTCCCTGTTAAGGATTTTTTTTTTTGGTAGTTTTTCCTCACTCTCCTATCATTTTGTTAAAGCCCTATGAGACAAATTTTGATTTGCGAATAAAGGCTATACAAATACATTTTCATTGATTGATGACTGATTAATAATTAATGTATTGATATTGCAGCAGTTGATACATCTTAAATTTTATTTGAGAATTTATTTTATTCTGAATGATCAGAGATATCATAGCTGCTAATGTAGCCGAAGTCAAGAGGTTGATTATGAGACTGCTGTCGTGACTCGTCTATTCCTGTGAAAAGTCCTGTTTCCTCCTAACTATTTTCTCCCTGCAGAACAGCATGATTGTTTGGCAACTCTGACATGTTTTGACCAAGTAAACAAAGAAATTGAGCAGCACAAATCTGCCTACTTCTTTTGAATCTCTCTCAAAGAGAGGTGTCAAGGTGTCAATGTCTTTCTGTCCAGATAGTTTACGTAGGCAGAGTTTAGACCATGACATAATGTTAATGCATGTTCAGATGTGTTTTGGAGACAGAGTAAATTGATAGCATCTTTTTTCTGCCCTGGGACATGATTTAGATTATCAAGGTGTTTGTGTTCCAGATAGCTCATTTTACTAGGAAGCTGCATCTAAACAGTGTGGCAACAAAGGCAGCTGCCTTCGCATACCAGTGGCAGTTTCTGTTACCTCTAGGAAGTGCCTCTACAAGCTACCACTCTAACTACCCCTAAGCTTGAAAAACAAGAGTGTTTTTGACCTGAACAGATCTGTTGATCTGTCTGTAGTGATAGCGATATCACCACTTACTGCCAAAGGAAGCATTTATTTCCATCGTTGATGTCACTGGTTACTGTGACAACCCCAGAGTCTGCTAGTCTCCAAGGAAACAGAGTGTCAACAGCAGTGTGCAGTGTTTTCAGTTGTGACGCGTTTCTACGTTTTGTTATTATCTGAGATTAAACAGCAGTAGCTAATATTTCTGGGATTAACAACCCAGTCTCATCTGAAAACGTGTAATAGCTACGTTGGTCCACTTGGAAAAACATAGACATGTGAACATTCACACTGAATGTCACGATGCATGGACGACGATTCAAACAACACACAACCACGCCGTTTCTTGGATCGCAGAGTCCGTAGCAACTCCATAGCGACGATTTAAACGTTACAGTTCTACAATTTTCTGGCGTGATCTGAAAAATTAAGTTAGTAAGTAAACTAATAAGATACATACCATAAGCATGAACTGGTGGAAGATTGTGAAAGTAAAGGGCACTTTTCTCGCTAGAAATAATGTAATTAGACGTGTAATCTATCATAAAATAGTAATATCAGATAACAGGAATAGCATTCACGCTCACTGAACGTCACAACGCATGGACTATGATTCAAACAACATGCTGGTGAAAATCAAACTGCCAGACACAAAAGCAACAGATGTTGTCCTGGATGTAAAAGAGAAGTTCCTTGATCTACGAATCCACAAACTGGGTCTCCATCTCCCAAATGCTGTCCACCGCCACAAGGGCAGAGCTCGATTCTTCAGCGAGCAAGAGGAGCTAGAGGTGACGCTGTTTCTGAAACGGCCCATGGACTTTATAAACATGCAATAACATGTTAACATTAACATTTATGACTTTATAAACATTCCCCCCTCTACTGCGTTCCCGCACTCAACCACGTGGTTTTAATTCCTGTCCATATATTTTTCTTTTTGGTCGACACTCCTTGTTGTTTGTCTTGCAATACAAATTAAATAGCTTTGTTTTTAAAGAGAGTTGTGAACACAGTAAAACCAGATACACATATTTGCTCATCTGGGGAACAAGGACAGAGCTGAAGCAACATATTGGTTATCAAGATTTCTTTATTGTCTCAGAACAGGTGGAAAGAGATTGAAAAAGGAAAGGGGAAATTATTCCTAAATGTGTTATTGGTAATGGAACAAATACATAAAACAACCGACAGAAGGCTGTGAGAATGTCCTGTTCCATGTTAATAACAAGGATGTGAATTAAATCAATGTTTGCCTCAAAGATCTTGCCACTGGAACTCTCCGAGCTGCTCCAACCACTCTTCCTTATATTTGAGGTTGTGTGAGATGCTTGTGCGGTTCCGCTTCAGTTCTGTGTCTTGTATCTGTAATAAGCCATAAAGACAAAAAGCAAACAATAACAAGACAGTGAGTTGTGAAGGAGGTTTGTCAATGATAAAAATATGAACTGGGCTGCTGGTTGTAAGGTAATTCCAGCTCCCTACCCCTTTAATGAGGGAAACTTTCCAGGCATTGACACGTGCAACCATCTCAGTCTCTCTGTCATCGATCTTTTGCAGGTGGTTATTGTGGCCAGTGGCCAGTGCGTCCATCACCATGTTTTTGTCTCTAAACAGCTACAGAGAGACCACAGGATACGAGAGGGTGAGGGCACTGACACTGGTAATGACACATGTGTTTGCATCATCTGACCAATTGAGATTAATCTCCATCATCAGCGTTGACATTAGATTATAATTCTGCTCTATATAACATGAAGTGAGAAAGAAAATGTGGTTTTAACAGTGTTGGCTATAGGATGACACTTGAGTGTCACATGTCAGTGTGCAGACAGTGACATGCAGTAATCAGTGCTTTTACTATGAGGCTATAGCAGTCTACAGTGACTATAATCCTGTCATTTAGCCAGTTTGGTACAAAAGATTTAACACTTACCCATCTAACGTCACCTGACATGTCCTCTTCCACACTGCCCGAGGCCACTTTCTCAAGAGTTGCCGAAGCAATATCTTGCATATCCTGATGATAATTATCCTCCAGATCTCGACATTGGGCAAATGTATGATTGTGTTAAAGATGTAATTTACACAGGACTTAATTATCGACAGGGAAATCAGTTGACGGGAGTAGGACTCAATTTAAATAGAATCCAGGTCAAATTGGATTAAGAGAAAGTGAAGGTGGTTTCTTAAGATCTTGTTCACAAGTCAGGGTAAGACTACTACTTTACTCTGTTAGCGTTTGTATATTGTTGCACTTTCTGGTCTCTTTGATGCATCAAGTTTAAATTCAAATCTTCTGATTCCTCATCATGGTAGACAGAGTTAGTTCTTGCCATTATGCTTTGGTGCATTAATCTGGCATTGTATTAAGATGTAGCTTGATATTGTCTCTCATTTAAATATAATAAAAAGTGACTTTACAATGTCTCAACAAATGAAAAGGATATATTCCTTTAGCATTGTCAGTGAAGCTTCTAACCATGTCTGAGATGTTGATGTCCAACTCTTTGATGAGGTCCTGAAATGAAAAAAAATAATCTTTATATATATATATATATATATATATATATATATATAATATTTAATCTAAATCTATAGCATCTTTAATAATTTGTACAGTTACATGAAAAGCAGCTCAACTCCAATGACTAAATTCTAAAAATAATTGACTGTCAGCTTACATAAATACACACACACACTTACGTCCAACTGGCTGCTGAGCTCAAGCTCCAGTGACATCTGGCTGTTTGAGAACTTGTGGATTGAATCAACGCAGTGGCTGATCTTGACCTGCAGTTTGTCTGAGTCTGATATCAGCTGCAACTCCACCATCCTCTAGAAAGGCATAAAATAATGATCAACTTTATAGATTCCACACCAGGAAAATTCACTTGTGTCATTAGCGATGTTTATCTACTAATTATTTTTCAGATTTAATGAGTTATTATCTGTTTAAATTACAAAGTGCAAGTCCTTTAGAAACGTTATGTATGGCCCAGCTCACCTGATGTTGTTCTTGCTCGAATTCTTCCAATTTGTGCCATGCTTCCTTCTTGTAGTCTGTCAGAACTTTTGTGCGACCACTGAGGAAGGAGTTTACCTCTGCCTCTCTTTGTTTATGCTCTTCCAAGCCTATTTCCAATAACTGCTCACAAAGTTCCACCATTTGCTGCTCAAATGTAAATGTTGGGTCAAGGAATTTAAGGACTGATTTCCCAGATTAATATGTCATTAATACACCCGCACGGATGAGAAAGCCAACAATCAATGGATATCTTTGAAGCAGATCAGCCACTTCTGTCACAGAACGTAGTGTCTCTGCTTCTGGATCATCTTTGAACATGCTCTTAAACAGATTAGATCCATTCAGGAACTCCACAAAAGCGTCCTGTAGGACAAAATAACTGACCTGTCACACTTTTGCAAATTTGAGAGCTCAGTGGACAGTGAACAAGAGCTTTAGGTTACCATGTGTAATTGGAGTTCCTCTTTCCGGCTTTGCTCAGCGTCATCGGCTTGTTGTTTCTGCAGCTCTTCTTTTCTCATTTTCTCAACATCACTGGAGTATTTGATAGATGCTTCCTTTTTCTGCACAGACAGTTTTAATACAATATCAACACGAAAAGAGACGTAGACATTGTCATGGCTTTAAAGAACATTAGCTATAAAATATATGTTTGATTTATGTTTGCTTCAAAGCAGAAAACAATGGATTACAACTGTATCATTATTTATACTTACAATCTCCTCACTAATTAATTTGTAGTCAAAGCACGTCAAGTTTGGAAAGAAGGCAGCAATGAATAATTTGTAATCATCCTTCTTTGACAATGGATTTCCAGATAGGTTGAGGGCGCCCAGTTTCTTAACTTTCCTGAGAGAGAGCACCTTTAAAATGAATTTGAATTACATTAGGGTATATGTTGTGTAAAGATACTGCAGTACACAAATGTTACACACTATTGTACATTTAATATATGTGACAGACAAAGGGATTTTTTTTTACATTATCCAGTTGTTCAAGGAGGTTGTTTGAAATGTAGAAATGGGTGAGTTTCTCAAGATGGTAGATGTTTTCAATGACAGAGATTCTATTGGTGGTCAAATTCAGAACTTCAAGCTTCTGCAGAGTCTCCAGGCCTTCGATTTTTTCGATTCTGTTGAATGACAGATCTAAAAGACACATTCAGTATGATGTTGGTTATTCTTGGTAGTTGTTGTGCTCAGTATGTGCTTTTCTCTATTTGAACCATTTCATGAACAATGCAAATACAAAACTTCATCTTACTGAGCCATTTCAGATTCACCAGATTGTCCAGGCCCCGAATCCTCTCTATTAGGTTGTTGTTTAAATTAATCTTGGTCAAGGATGTGAAGTCCCATAGGTTTTCAATCTTCAGGATGTCTGTGAACAGACGATATCACACACACCTAAGCACAATTCACTTTAATACACTGATATTTTTCTTTTCATGTTTTTTCTTACATTTGAAGTCCAGATATAAAGTGGAGACTTCATTCCTGGCAATTCTCCCAGCCTGATCTTGAGAAATCTGCTCATCCACTGCCTTCTGCACAACCTCGTCATCCATCAAAATAGGTTGAGGTGCAAACTGCCAGCTCATGCTACTGTTGGTTGGGTCGCTTCACTTCACTGAAATTTTCGAACGCAAAATACTTCTGCCTAAACAACACGTTTTAGCAGTAGTGGCAAGCTCAAATCATGCTTCTGGTGGCATCTATGTTTCCACACTGTTTAAAGGCAGCTGCCTTTGTTGTCACAGTTCAGAAGTGGCACATGAATACATCAAAGGTTGTAAAGGCTGTTGTGGAAAATCTGGTGATCAATGGTCACCTCATCAATGAGAAAGCATTGTTTTATATTCCATATATAACAACATACAAACACTAGTGGTATGCTTTGGGTGCTTGTTGGTGAAGGAAAACCAAAATGTGTTGTGTTTATGTAATGGATCCCAGGGAACTTGAATTAATCTTGCGGCTGCAGCTTGCAAAGAGCCATGAGGGCCTGTAACTGAGACAACCATGTACACAGAAGGTGCAATTCCCTGGTGAGCATGGACTGTGAACACTGAGCAGCTCTGACACAAAAACCTGCACCATTCCATAGGATTTCAATCAATTTATTTGGTACCAATTAATATCTGTGAACTAAATAAGCCTTATTTTAAAAAAAATCAAAAAGGAAACGTCAAAGCATGTTACAGAAAGTCATACATAATTTCCTGAATCTGCACCCCCCAAAAAACACAATTGTTTTAATAAAAATGGTGAGCAATGTTTGTGATGGAAATGTGCTTCATGATTTACACAGAGAATCCAAACCACATTCAAGTCTTCACATATCAATTTATTTGAAATGAGATGCAATGCAATGTGGTCACAAACACTTGTACCATTACAGTCAACAATAAAGTTACAAAATTAACATTTACATAATAAATTAATATACTGCAGTACCACACAAGACAGTAAACATGAAACGGGGAAATTATATTGCATTAAAAACAAAAACAGGAACTAGTACAAAAAGGTTTCAGGCATTTACAAAGGCAGCCTCCTTTTTTCTGTTGCTTGTTCTGTCGTACATTTATATAAATATAAATCTCTAAATTGTAGATACACTGATATGTCTGCTAGGAGAGCGGCTCAGGCCCGAGATTAGATATTGCAGTGACCTCCAAGTTGACTGCCATTTCATTAGAAGATAAAAAGTTCATTTACAAAGTTGGTGTCAAAACAATTTTCTCTGAAATTTTATTTCCCAGATTATGATCAGCTGATTGATGTTTTCTTAAAAAGGCTCATGAATCACCCTCGAGTTTTCCGTTCCCTATTTCAAAACCTAAAACCTTCCAACATGCACCCTCCTTTTTCTTGTGATATCAAAATATCTGTAAACAAAAATGATGAAGAATCTGTTCGCAGCAGTAAAGTGCATGCAGCACATGCTAGGCAGTGAATGTTTTCAAAGCTGGCATCAGTACATATAAATAGTTAAATATAGCACGAGGAAAATGTCAACCCTTCGTGCAATCTTCCCCAACATCCGCATGTTTATCTTTATCGCCCCTTTTTCTTCCTCATCTGCCCTTTTTTTCCTCTTGTTACAACTTTATGTTATTGCCACTAACTGTTACTGCTACAACAAGCAGATGCTACTGAGAGGCCATCGTATGTGTCATTAAACTACTGGCTACACCTACAGTACTACTACTACTAATACTACTACTATTGCTGAGGGCTTTTAGAACCGTTTCAAACAAACGTGACATATGCAGCATGTGTAATGCTACCCTGATTTAGTCAAGAGGCTACCATGATCGCCTCCATCTGCTCCGGGTGTTTTAGATGAGATTTAGTGTGAAAAAGACAAAAGTGCAAGAAGTTGAAGTTTAGATGTTACAATGTCAGAATCACAGACTCAGGGATTGTAGTCAGTAGAGTTCTAAACAAGATTTTAAACCTGTACAATCGTATCGGAGAGCTCGACTGGACCTGATCCGACAGACTCTGGTTCACCTGATTGCATACCTAAGATTACACTAGATTTGGTGTTACATGGTTTTACAGACATGCACTAAAAACAAAGCGGTTAAAACTGATGAGGCCGAGGATGAGATACCTGATTTTTAGCCCATCACATGGATACTACGTTGACCACAATGCAACTTGATGCCATGTTTTTGTTAGACTCTAACACTGGCATTTTTGAATCTCCATGCCGTAAGTTTTAATCAGTCAGTACTTAGTTGTAAATGTTGTACTCTTAAGCCCAAGAAAAACATTAAGTCTCGACTTTGACAAAGCTCCTCTTGTTTTGATTTTTGTTTGGAAAGTGTGGAAACTAGTGGAGTGTCCTTTTACGACTCTTAATTTGCATGCTGACTGATAAGTAGATGGAACGGGATACATGATGACAAAAATGCAGTGGAACAGGTTTTCTGTGCCACTTGCCTAAGTTCCTAAGCCTTGTCTAACACTTAGTGAGACACACTCTAAAGTACGCTCATCACATATTCCACCACTACACAACCAGAACACTTACAGTGACTTAAGTGCTACTACATAATCCCTAAAGTTTACAGAACAGATAAGAGAGAAAACTCATAACTTATTATAGAAGCTACACAATTATCATATCTGACAAAACCTTAACTACACTATTCATCCAAAGATACAACCAGATGCAAAAAAATGCAATACATGAGGTATCTGCAGACTCGTGTGATGATGACTCACAGGAGGTGATATTGATATTTGGGATGGGGTCACTACTCGAGGGTTCAGAGGTCAACGGGCAGCATTTACAAAACGATGTTGCGACGTGGTCACAAAAGTAGCGACTGGCAAGTCCCTAATCTCATAAAAAAAACTTATCCAAAAATATTCTATACATGTTTGTTCATCCAGCAATTCCTTTTTTTTTAAGTCTAATCACTTTGTTCCCTTTTTTTAAAAAGTGAAACGATCCCAAAACTGCAATGATAGTATACAAAATATTTCCTTTGAACATTCAAAATAACAGCTAATATTCAGCATCAACTTAAAACTGACATGCAAACACAGTAGGTGCTACAATGATTTTTAAATTAAAGGGCTTACTTTAAGTTTTCCAAGCAGGAAAAACAGGATTTATAATTAATAGAGACTTGGCTGGCTCTTTTAACATCCAGAGATTCAACCAGTATGTGTTTTCTGTGCAAGGACTGAACTAGACAGATGCAAATTAATAAAACATACAAAATGAACTGGACAACAGTTCCCTCACACAGAATCAAAAAAGTAAAAAACAGAACACTGACATGTTTCCCTGACCCTTCATCATTCAAGAGCCACCGGCAAATCAGGAAGTGAGGTGTTCAGACTAATACTGGCATCATTAGACAAAGTCATCTTACAGTCAGGAAATAGAAGGTCGTAGAAAAAATTAAAGGATTAAAAATAACTTTACAAAGCAGGGAGTTATATCTAGAGTTAAAATTTTAGGAACAACAATGTGGCAGAGGAAAAAAAAAATACCACAAAGGAGGTTTGGATTTTAATCCATCGCCTAGATTCTTCCAGATTACCAGATCAACCCTCTTCTGATGGTCCAGTGGAAGGTCCTGGAAACATGAGGCCTCGCCTTTGGCTTTTACGTGGGACAAAGAACTGTGGAGACAAAAAGTTGACTTGTTGATCAGCTGTGCTGTTCGGTGAAAGCAGTGAGATCTATGAAGGATGGAAGAGCATCTACCAGAGGGAGAAGTGTGGGGTGGTGGTCAGTGAGGAAACAAGCTACTGATGAAAAGCGGATGAGAACAGCTGATGCTACAAGATCACAGTTAAAAGGATATTATGTGTGTGAGTGTGTTCGGGGCGTTTTGGGGAAGGTGTAGTGCGGCCACAAGCACTGCGCGGCGTGACAGGCGCTACAGCGAAGAGCAAGAGAGTGGAGGCCTCTGCTTTGAGGGGGAGGAAGAAAGTGCTACTACACAGAAAGAAAGAGAGAGAAAGAGAAAAGGGGCTGAGAGTTGAAGGCTGAAGGTGAAGAGTCAGTGTTAATGTGCCAGTGCCTCACAAACCTCAGTTTCCACTGCTCTCATACCAGAGCTAAGGACAGTGCAGCACAGACGAGAGACAAGGAAGGTACATGGTCAACAGTGAAGTGCGGCAAGAAAAGAATCTGTTTTCTTCCTTTATTAAACATTTGGTGTTACTGTTTTCTTTTCTCTGCGTTGCCAGGTGAAACAATCAAAGGTCCCGTTCAGACCTGGTATTAACACCCGTCCTGAGAGATCTGATCACAAGCTGACAGAGTTAAGCTCTAAAATGCATTCCGAATGCGTCTCATGTGTTTTGCGATCGGATCTCACTTCCCCATTCAATGCAAATAAACACTTACATAATTTATGTTTGAGAATTTAAGAAAAAAAGAAAGAAAGAAATCATTACATGGTGTCAGTGACTACAAAAAAAACAATGGATGGTCACAGAGCAGCATGAGCATACTTTTGATTTATTTGAAACTGTGGCAGGTCAGAGGACGTCAGCTGAGCAGGCGTTCTTTCATATGTGGCCCAGGATGCATTTGCTTTCAAAAAGTAAAAAGGATGTTGCCTAGACCATCTCTGAATGTGGTCCGAATGTTCGGATCTCAGGACAGATGTTCATACCAGGTCTCAACAGGGATAAAAAGTCGACTGGCTGTGACACACTTATCTCTAAATATGTGTCGCTTGTTAGGAACTAATTATTTTCCTCCTGAAAGACTTTTGCTGTGAGAAACAATGTTGACTTAACTACAGTTAAGTGTGTTTACCTTTGAGGATGTAGTCTGTAAGCAGAGCAGGTACCTTCTCACTGTCATCCCTCATGGCATGGAGGACTAGCAGAGAGAGAGAGAGAGAGAGAGAAAGCAGTGCGTTATATTTTGAACTGAGGGAAAACAAATAAAATGACCACATCTAACTTTGGTCATTATGTGTGTCTGTGCATGTGTGTGGGTGCACTCACTCTTTGTGAGGATCTGGAGGTCTTCTACTGACGGGGAGCCAGCATTCTTCTCATAAGGGATAACTGTGGTCAGGTACTGAGAGGAAAACATCATGTAAAAAAACAATGACACTTCATATTTGAATTAGAGTCATCTAATTTAAACTGAGAAGAACATTAGGAATAACTCGTGACAACGGTATAAAATATGCAGTTTTCCAGCGTAATATGTAGATGATGTGAATATATGATAAATGAAGATTTCAATGGTTTTAGCCATTCAGGGGCCTATTAAAAAAAAATCTAAAAGCACAGATTTTGTAACAGTATCATTCTGGTTTAAAACAAAGGAAAATGGGATTATGACACAGGAAAATCTGCAAAATAAAAATGATGAGTGATTAATGCTTTGTTGAAATCAAGTTTTAAATATGAAGTGAAGAAAAAAAATGAAAAATCAACCACAAAGATGAGACAGACTGAAGAAATGACAGAACACACCAAACGCCAGCGATGGAAGCTGTAGAAAAGAAAACAAACGTGCCACAGTGGAAAGAAAGAAAGAAAAATTAAACCGATTTTTACTGCAGTGGGAATAAAAAGCAGGGGCACCTGTTTGTCCCCTCCTGTGTTGCCAAAGGTTTGACGGAGACCATTTTGAATGACATTGGAGAGTCCCTCCAAAGTAAGGAGCTAAAAGGAGCGAGAGGAAAGAGGGGAAAGGAAGAGCATGAAGAGAGATAAGGAGGTATCGACAGAGGATAGAAGGAAAAGTCTAGCCACAAACCCAGGGCTGGAATAAGCAGCTTCCCCATGCAAACAGTCAGGTCTTCATCATCCTAATTATAACTACAAGTGCGTTGCGTTAATATGTCAGTTTCACTTGTCATCATCACATGACTCACCGTGCCGGGTATGTGCGTGCTGGTTGTCCTCTGGCCGTTGGATGAGGTCGTAGTCGTACTTCGGATTTTCTTCTTCTTGCGCAGCAGCTCGCGGTGCTCCTTCTGTCTGTTCTGCACGTCGATCAGCAGCGAGATGAAGCTGTTCTTCACCTGTTTTCAGACACAAAACCGGTTTACTCACGCTGATTTCAACATCACATTCAAATTTACGTTTTGCATTTATTTACACAGGCAAAGACACTTTTTATCTAGAGTTAAAAATTGACTAGGATAAACACATGACCAAACTAAAATGTAAAATGAAGCCGCCAGCGACTCGCTGACCTTCCTCACTGACCTGTGTAACGCTGTGAGCACTGCAGTCTGCTCTCACTGCACAACAGATGTTCAAATTATCCAACTCTCAAAACTGTTTTTTTTAACATTTCAAAGGGTCCTTTAAATGACGCATTACTTTAAAGTTGATTTTAAGTTCAATTGAATGCTGTAAAAAATAATCTGGTAATTTTTGTCAAGGTTGTCCGCTTTTAAAATCTCAACAGACACAGATCTTGTTTGTGTTCTTGCCTTGTTGTAGTAACATTGATGCAACACAGAAAAGAATTAGTACCTCCTTTTCATATTCCAGTTCATCTCTCAGGGCCAGAGCCTGGATCAGCTCCTCGCTGTAGCGGCGAATGGCTGTTTCCACTTCCTCCAGAGTCTCAGTCAGCTCAGAAACAGACAGCTGACGCAGCCCTGGAGATGGTGTATAAAAAGACAGACCCTTCAGATAAACAACTCTTTTTAGAAGGAAAAAAGTTTATTTCAACTCAATTCTGGACATTTCAATTTAAAAAAGGAAAAAGATGTAAACTTACACGTCTTGTTTAATATGTTAAACTACCTGTTCATCGACCTGATAGAGCAAATGTCTAAGTATAAATATTGTAAATACACTTTGTCGCACTCATTAGGGGCAGTCTACTATATAAACACACAACATACTGTAATTATATAGACAGATAACTGAGATAAAATCTACAGCCTGAAAGCAAATTGGGTTCTGCTGCTCAGTATACGCTCTGAGAATAGAAATTGTGTTCAGGCCAAATGTATGCTGTTGTTTATATAACACATAGTTATAACACAACTGCTGTCTGTTTGTATTTGTTAAACATTACATAAGAATGGTATCTCATGTGTGTAGCTGTTTCTGCATGTGACCTATCACACTTCATTGAGTGAAGCTCTTTCGAGTGTGTAAAGGCGCAAGCACATTGCGCTCACAAGGCGACGGGCACAGTTACTTTAAAAGCTTTGTGATTTTCCTTCTCTTCACTGTAAATGTACACGCTGGTACTCGTGGTACTCACGGTCCTCGTAGCTGGTGTTGGAGCCGGAGCGTTTCAGAGCGTGGAGGTCCTGAGAGAGCATGGACAGGTCGGACTGGGAGGGACTCTCATCGTCCTCTGGGTCTGGAGACTCCTGCATCATCTCTTCTATCTCCTCTATCACCTAGACAACACCACAAACAAAACAAACGCACACACATTACTCACCACAGTGTTTGCATAAGCCCAAAGGAGAATATGAGGCAATGTGTAGTCAAACGAAATGTATGTGCGGCTCTAAAGCAGAGGAGTATCTCATTTTCAAAGATATTAATAGTTACAACAGCTTCAGGTATCTAATCGAACTCATTCTGCAACATTGTTTTAGATCCTCTCAGTTCAGTCTGTCTGGAGTTTCCTTCTCATGAAAGTTACATGTGATCAAACTATAATCACCATGTGTTACAATTCACACAAAGGGGCTCAATTCACGCACATATGTGTGAATGCATGTATCACCTGTTCAGCTGTGAAGAGCGGCTCGTCGTTAATGCAGGAGACGATGATTGAGTGCATATCCATCTGCTCCCTCAGCTCCTCATCATCAGACAGATCAAGAGACTGGTTATCCAACTTCTGTCCATCAGGGAAGGATTGAGAGAGAGAAAGAGAGAACATGGATGATAGAACAAAAATGGGATTGAGCAGGTGGAAGGAAGAACATTAAGACAAACAAACATTTCCCCACACACTGTGAGGGTGTTATACCTCATGATCTGTGAGGTTGAGGATGGGCAGGTGTAGTGAGCGAGTGTGCGATGTCTTCCAGTCTACAGGCATCACGTTGCCATAGTTATCTGTCAGAGCGTTCCACACCCTGGAACAAAGGAAAAGGGACAAGTGATTTAATTAGGACTGCAGGAATAACATCATATCAAAAAATTGAACAAGACAGCGAAGGCGAAGGGTTATCAGACAAACCCTGCGTCCTTCTCTTTTTACTGTGACACAGCTTTACTGGCCTCTTTTCAGACCACCCCCTCACCACGTCACCGTGTTCCTACTGCTGCATCTTAAAGCAGTCGGCTGAATCCATTGATGAATGTAACAACTCCCAAATCACCAGTGAGACACACTGACGGTAGTTCAACCTTAAAACTGAAGTGTGCTTTGATAGCCCATGAACCGTGTGTCTATATCACTAACACGCAGTTAACACCGGCTAATTAAGAAACAGTACATTATAACAGCAGATGGTTTAATGTTTGCAGTACTGTGGAGCATGAAAGCTGGCAGACAACATGTCACAGCAGAGCAGACGTTGGAGTGGAGCCTGGTTTGAAAACGGCTGAGGTTCATGGTTCCAGGTGATTTCGAAATTGCCATAATGTGGCAGAAATATATTAACAACTGCCGGCATTACGCATGTTTTTCAAACACCATGACAAAAACACAGGATGCATCAAAATTCATAACCACATGCGAGTCTCTGTGTTTTTGTTCTTGGCACTGACTGCTGCGAGCAGAGCGGGGATGGATGCTGTGAACCCATGTGTCAGAGTGGCTCTGTATCGTCATACCCCCTCGTCCACACACAAACGCGGACAAATGTTTATGTAACTTGCATGTTTCTCCCTGAAGTGCTCTTGCACAGCTTGGTGAGTTAGGGGCTGCTGGGTTGTTCTAAATAGGGCAAAGGCTGGCAGGAAATATCTCTTGCGCCACAAGCGATGACACGGTCTCAGACACGTGACACGAGTGAACGCCAGAAAGCACAATTAGCTTCAGTTTCACTGAGAGTATTTTTAAAAAAACAAGCCTCCTCGAGATTTTGAGGAACCAGTTCACTTGTTTCTACTTCAGCTCTGAGACAATTTGTCTGGATTATTTGCTCAAATACATGTATGCTGTTTTATGTTGTTGTGCACATGGGGGAACATAATACACACTTCCTTAATAAACACTTCCTACTTTTCAGGCCCCGTTGTTCATCTCGGCCTCGCTCTTAGTGGAGAACTTGTTAAGGGTCTAGGCACGTCCCGGAAAAAAAGCGCAGCCATCCAGAAAAGACTCTCACTGAGCCTGGCACTGCTCTTTGGGCTTCAGCAGGCTTGCATCCAATTATTTCATTTCCCCCTTTCTCTGTTTCTTTACCTGTAACAAGCATTGAAGCTTTTTCCTCATCTGAATTCCCTGAGATATTTTGAACAACCTTGACAGTGCTTTTCCATTACTACAAACCCTCCTGTGTATTAACGTCTGGTGCTCCTGTTTAATTACTAAGGGTCCAAGCAACTATGTTGTTCTCAATCCAGTCACAAGTCCTCAGGGCTCATGTATAAAATACACCAGCTACTTCACACACATATAGAGCTGGAGTTGTTCAACTGATACTAAATACTGTGAGGTAGTAAACTGTATATGTTTTGGTTATAAACAGTTGACTGAACAAAATATAGAAAAAAGGCAGCACCCAAACCCTTCAGGAAAATGTGACGGACAATCTAACAGTACATGAATTGGGAAAGACTAATCAGCATCTGTTGTAGTCTTCATCAGTTATTTATATAACTGAACTGTCTGTTCCTCCATCGACCTGTGGGCCGTATATTAGTTGGGTACAATTTCGAGCAACATTAAAAATTCTTTGATTTGAGTTCCATGTTAAATATTCTAGCTGCAAGATTCATGTAAAGCAACATTTGTGTGTAGAAGTGAACACTCATGACTTCTCACTGTGGCCGAGCAGAGGAGACTTTATTATGTGACCAGATCCAACAGTGTCACAATGTCGTGCTGGTGGAGGAGATGCCAGAAGGCAAGAGGAGGATGATTCATGCAGATCTGTAGTTACAGTCATGTCTGTGCTTATGTGTGGGATGGCTGAGACTAGTTCCTGCTAAGATATACCATGTTGTCATGTCATCTGGGTCTTACACGATATGTCCTTGCGGGCTGTTTTTTGTTGTCTGTTACACAATGTGCTGTTCTGCAGCTGCTGCAACACTTTGGCCCGAGACAAATGTCCACATGAAGACAATGGAGTGTATTTGATTTGATGCGAATGTGTTGCTGTAATATAAAGGACCTCTGCCTGAGATAACAGAGGTGGTGGTGAGAAGAGATGCTGGCAGTGTAAACATTGAGAGAGCAGTGATTCCGTGCACCAAACAGAGCATGGTGTGTCTGCTAGCAGGGAGAGGGTTAACACAAGCACTTCACATATTCAAAGTTAGCAACATTCAGCTAATACAAACAAATCTAGAGTAAAAATCAAGGGCTGGTAACGTGGCATGACCCCTCCCCTGCCTTCGAAACACACACACACACACACACACACACACACGCAGATCATCAATAAGACAACTATTGAAAGATGAAGACTCTTAATTTGGCCCTTAAAAGAACCAGACAGTCAAAAGATGCTAACAACTAGTATTAGTCATTAGCTTGTACTTTCTGAAAGGCTGCCTGAAGTTAAGACACTAACAAATGATAAAACAGGAGGAACGTACTTTCTTATAATACGTCAGAAAGTGTATTCTCGTTGAACAAACACGTACCAGCGGTCTAACCTTTGCTCGACAGTTCAAACTGAGCCGAGGTCCCCTCCTGATCGCCGGCTGTAGCCCGGAGAGGCTAACGCGGCTAGCCAGCTAGCTAAGAGATTAAAAGTTAACAAACAATCCGCACTCACTCGTCGTCTTTCAGGTAGTTGTCCTCGGAGATGGGTTTGATCGGAGCGATGTTCTCCGTCGCCGTGTTGTAGTTCCGGAAACACACTGTCAGCTTCTCGTCGAAGTCGTGGACGAGGTCCTCCATCGACTTGAAGCTGCAGATCTCCCCGGAGAAGCTGCGGTCCAGGTCGGAGAAATCGTCCAGGCCCGACGACGGGTCGCCCACATTGGAGTTGAGCAGGTCCAGGCGGTCGGCGGACTCGGCGGAGGACGCCTTGAATTCATTGAAGTCCTGCCAGTCCTCGTCGAAGTGGGCTAACGGCGCCGCCATGACTGCAGCGGGAGCTCGGTACACAGCCCGAACGTTCCCCGGGCGATGGAGCTCTGGATTCGGCTGTGGGACTCAGGAGGAGAGGGTAGAGAGGGAGAGAGAGGGAGGGAGAGAGAGAGAGGGGGTGACGTCAGAGTGGACGCCCCGCCTCTTTGAGATGGAGCAAAACAAAGCAGGTCTGATGAGTTTCACACTGAACGTGACTGCAGCTCTGTTTACGTTGTGCACCACAAAACAACGTCTTCACTGAATCATCTGATCGGAACAGACACGTTGCATCTTTCCTGCATTCAAGATACAAACATCAACATAGAGCTTTGTAGAGGAAGCCCTTTAAATCTGCTGTCCTGGTCTCTGCAGCAGAATCTGGTTCACACATACAAGAAGTGTGCTGTGGTGTATTTGTGCAAGTATACATAATTAAAAAAAACAACAGAATATAAAAAATACTACAAGCACCAGGGGAGGGGATTGTGCAATACATAGTAAGTAAATATTACAGACTGGATTGTGCAAAGTACAGTTAGTCCGTTATTTGCCTCAGGGAGTTAAAGGTCCAGTGTGTACGATTTAGGTGAAAGGGACCTATTGTTGTTTTTGTTACCCTATGATGGCCCCATTTAAATTTAAACTTTATATTTACATCAGAAGCAGCTCCTCTCTCTATGAAGGCCAACATTATTTTTACAGTAGCCCAAACTAGACAAACTTAAACACCTTTGGAGTTTCTATTACAACTGAAAGCTACCACGGGCTCTCTGTCATGTTTGGAAGGTGAGGGGTATTCAGCTGCAACATGCGATTTCACCACTAGATGCCACTAAATTATGCACACTGAATTGTCAAGGTGTCACAGGCTGGGACATCAGTTCAGTCCAGTAATATGGTGACCCTGAAGAGCAAATCACAAAAAACAATAAAAACCCAATTAAATACTAAAACACGTTTTATTAGCATTCCACTTTTTATAAATGAATCATCAAAAGTCGTCAATAGCAAGTTCCTTTCTGTTAGAAGTTAATATTGTCAAGTTTTGTGATTTGTTGTGTTTTGTTATTTGCCTTTATGTTTTCTCATGTGCTTATTTGCTGCCATTTTGTTATAGATGAGACTATTAATACCTAAGGAAATTGTTGTGCCTGCTTGCTCCAAGATAACAGTACAGAATGATATAAAGTAGAATAGAATACAGTAAAAAAAAGAATTAAGTCCGATGTATAAATGAAGATAAAAGTAGAAGTAGAAGTGTATTGTAAATTAAATGTGTAGGTATATCAATATAATGCAGAACCAGTACCCATTAGTAGATTAATTGTGATTATCACATCATATAAATCATATATTTGATATAATTTATCAAATACATATACTCATATACATGTTATTTATTCCTTTCTAACATATATGTTCACCATGTTAATCCTAATATTATTTCCAGATTTGTTTTCAGTCTTTGTTGTTGTCCTTGTTCAGTTTTGACCGTCCTATGATACTACTCATTGAAAGAGTGAGCTTCTCTCATTTGAAAACCATTTGCTTTTATACATAAATGCTGATTCATTGAATAAATACCATTAGAATTAATGTTATTCTGATGGATGCCAAAATGACAAGATTGTGTGACTTCCACCAGGTGGCGCAATGAATCTGATGTTGACTTCTGGAGACCCCAGTGTTCCTTTATATATATTCTAAAATAACCATATGACTAAATCAGACATAACATATAACCATGAAATTGTGAAATAATCCAATAGGTGTTGAATCCTATAAAATTACTTCATCCTGCTTCTTTTTACATTGTTATAAATCAGAGTTAGGAAGTCAAAACATGTGTAGGTAATTTTTTTAGTATGAAACATTCATAGCAACATAGACAAACAGGAACAAGTCTCTTATTTGTCTGCAACCAAGTGAAAATCTTCAGGATTTTTTTCCAGTTACAGGTTTTATTACATGTTGTGTGCATTAATCTTTATGATTGTTTCCGTAATGGCTTCTTATTCATAATTTTACTATAAATTAATTTGGGTCTCACATTTTACCAGTATCCATGCCTGGAGAACCTGTTTCCAAGAAGGTGACGTTTCTATAGAAATGTATGGCCAACAACAAAGCTTACTCAAAATAATGTCACTTTATTGGCAATTGTTCTTGTCATTCCTAATTATTCTGGCATTGGAGATCCCCTCTCTCCTGGTCTGGCCCCACACATTGCTGTCAAAACATTTAGAAATCAAGACTGAATTCACAAAACAGAAAATTCAAACCCAGTGTTTTCCATCATGACACATGCTCTTTCCTAAGACTTTGGTTCAGGGCCAACCTGGATCTGCACAGCGAGGGGGGGGGGGGCTTCATTGGCATCTGATGGGCCGACCTTGGCATCTGATAGGTAGACCTCACAAGCTCCTGCCCCATCAAACTTCCATGGACTATGTTTCTTTTTTTTTTCAAAACCCTGAATGCTTTATTGAAAATATGCATACATAACACTTTTCCTACACAACAATACAAAACAGTACAATCACTTTTGTAAATAACACACTGAACGCAAAACCCACACATCACCCGTCCCGCCCTCACCCAAGGAACTCAGAGATGCTACAGCAAGCCCTTAGTAATCCCCACCCAGCCCCTCACCCACAACCACCACCCTCACCTCAGAGAGAGAAATAAGACGTATTTAAAATCAGAAACAACTCCCTTGGTAAACTCAAGACAGAAGAACAGAATAGACACCAGGTTGCATACAGACATAGCATTTGCCACCAGCAGGTGAATAATGGACTTTACTGAAACTCCTGTTAGGGTTCATTAGTGTGTGATTTGCCTGGGGTCTTTTGAAATGATGTGAGTGTGGAAGCGGAGTCCGTTCTGCAGTCGGGGAGTCGAGGGTTTCAAGACTGTGAATATAAGTCATTTGGCTTAAATACGGGTCAGAGCAGTGGCAACTGTCAAATCAACAATGGCACACCAAGAGAGAGATTTCGCTTAATTACACAGACATGCGATAAAGAAGCTTCTCACATGAAGGAAACTCTTAAAGGCGAGGGGTGGATAGTTCAAACCTGATTTGATAATAGGTAACACACTTCCTACAAATTCTCTTCCCGCTCCGATTGGCATGGGTGTTACTGTGCATATTCATTTGTAATTGTCGTGGTAGATAAAATTCAACTGAACACAAAGAAACAAAGAAAAAAAAGTATAAAAGAAAGTTAAGAGGGATTTGTAAAGATTAAAAAAAGTGAGGACTCCCAAGTGTCTGGTTATATTTTAATATGATCATACAGGGATAAAGGTCAATCCCAAAAAAAAAAAAATGATATAATGTGAACAAAACAAATTTTAAGTAACAAAAAATTTCAATAAAAACAGACAGAAAAGCACTGTTTTTTTTAAACATTTCCACTGTATATCAGTCTGTAGCAAATAGTCATTACATACCCTGAAAAAGGGAGGAAGAAAGCTTTGAATGGTGCACTGACCACTGAAGTACTTGGCTGGAGAGCAATGGGGGAGTTAATGCTGAGTTCTCTCTAAGCTCCAAGAGTGGCACCCTCCAGATGAAGGCTGCTTTTTATGCAAAGAGTTTTACAATGTAATAATCAGTCACTGCTTTTGGATGCATAGAGAGGGCTGGATTCCTTTAGCAATCTCCTTTCTGTTTTTAAGTCTTTGCCTTGTTTAAAGCCAAAAGTCTGGCGAGCGTGGTGACCGCAAGGCTACAAGACCCTAAAGGATTCATGCCACTGCAGTAGGTACAAGATGGCAAGGTGACCACTCAGAGTGCAGTTGGGTGGAGGGAGGGGTTTCATACATACTGAAGGTTTGTGTGCAACTGTATGAACAGGAAGGCAGTTTGTGTGTGTGTGTGTGTATGTGTGTGTGTGTGTATATGTGTGTGTGTGTATGTTTCGCTCTTTAACTCTGCCGGCTCAGAGCATGGTTGTGATTATTGGTGCCTCCTTCTTCTCTCTGGGGCCGTGCTAACTACTCTTTCAGTACGTTACAATCATCAAACTTCCCATATGAAATGACCCTTTGCTAATAAACACAACACTTAACAGCTTCTTTTTTTTTTTTTTTTTTTAAACATGCCTCGACCAAATTGCTCTTTCTTAAATTTCTCCCCACAAAGATGATTGGATGCCAATAACTCAGTGCTGTTTGAATGCCACATGGTTAAGGAGAAAAGCCAAACAAATGTAAAAAACAAAGCCCCAGATTAAAAAAAGTTTTTCTTTTACAAAATGGCTCTCAAGTATTCTTTGTTCCACAGATAGAGGTCCTTACGGGGCTTTGGATAACTTAGAATCAGTTTAAAATCCTCTTTACAATTTTACTATGGGATTATAGGAGCGTAGGGGGTAGGGGCGAGTATTTTCTGCTGGTGTGAATTGAACACATACAAAAACACACGAGCCAATTAAACCTGCGCCCACAAAGGTCGTCTCTCACATTAATGTGTGTATGCATAAACTCTTGCACTCACACTCTCACTCACACACAGAGGGACAGCAGTCACCGGCCTGCAATTGAAATTGCACTCGAACCCTTGCATGTCTTTTGAGAAGGGATCATAGCGACTGTATAACGTCTGCACCCTCCCTCACTGCTGATATGTGACCTGTAATCCCTCTGTCCGTCTCCTCTTAGGCAAATGTAATGAAGTTGTGCGGTAGCTAGCTTGACAGAGGAGATTTTTTTTTTATTTGGGGTGGAGGGGGGCTGTCAAGTTGGAAACATTGCAGCGACTGTCCGTGTTAGGAGTTAAATTAAGGAATAAAAAGTTTTGTTTTCCTAATGTCGAGAAACAGAAAGTGGAATCTTCAAGCTAAAGCTTTCCAAGGGCACTACTCGAGCTAAGATTCACCTCTTAAATGAGAATAAATGCTATGACTATCATTAAAATAAATTTCCAACATTTAAGCATAGCCTTGTTTTTGTGTTCTTTGTCAGCTGGTCGGTCAGTTTTTGTTTTTTAACTGTGGATTTTCGGCCTTTGTCCAACAATGTGAAGAATATAGCAAAAAAGGGAGGGGGGGAATACATACAGAAGTTGCTATATCCCCCTACGCATCATCCTGCCCTGAAAACCCCCCACCCATGTCCATTGAGACATTTTACAGGTAACGTGAGACAAAACAGGCAGACAAATGCAGTCCAATAGGTAGATGGTTGGTCTGCCATGTCAGTCTGGCGGTGTCACAGGAACTTGATGTGTGCCGAGCTCAAGGTGGAGGTGGGTTTCCTGGGAAACTCTAAGAGGAACTAGCATGGCAGGTGACCATGCAGCGAGACAGGGGAGGGGAGGAGGGTTAGTTGAGGGAGGAGAACAGCCTGTCAAAACGCCACTGGATGGCGGCCGCATTCCCGACGGGCACTGACTGGAGTTTCCAGGCCTCTGGGTCAAGATCAAGTTTTGGATGAGGACTTGAATTTTCAGAGTGTCCATCATCACCTCCACCATTTTGTCTAGGCCAGTCAGGAGACGAGTTTTTCTCGCTTTTTGTTTTCTCTTTTGTCTTGGTGGCTTTTGTTGTGTCTTGACTTTGCTTCCATTGTTGGATTTTATTTGCCAGTTTAGATTTCGTTTCACTGTGGGATTCTTGGATTGTTGTCAAAGAGAGATGTTATTTGCTCCATGAGTGACCATCAACTGTCCATGTTACTGCAGTTCTCTGAGGAAAAGAAAAGAGAAACATCAGGTAAATTTAGTTATTACCACAATCACTTTGGTGGTTAAATGCAGGAGCAAAATAGTTTTTCCCTGGAGAAATCAGAAATAAAAAATGAGTGTGCAGTAATTTTAACTTTGACCACATTACTTCCGCTCAATTAATTGGCACTACAGACAGCCATCTAGCTAGTACATTAAAATAGCCGGTGCTGAACACATGCTCAGTATCTTTGTTGCTTGGAAAAAGTGGCAAGAAGCACTAGCTTTTGATAGTCACAAGGAAAGAATGTCACCGTTGAGGAACCAAAGACAGCTGCAGGACCACAGGTGCAGCGTCAATTCATAGATACTTACCCAATAAAACAACTCAGTCACCAACAGGAGGACAAAGAGGACATAACTCACTCATATGAGTGGCTGTGAATGTAGCATGTGCTTTGATAAATGGGTGATGGATCATGGGTAATATGTTAATGGATAGATTTGAGAGATTATTACGCGGAATGGTTAGGGTCCAGTACAGAGCTATCTGGGTGTGGGTTTGCAAAAATGGACCCTTGCAGCCAGACAGTTTGTCAAGTTTTCTCAAGTAGATGCTAACCATGACAGTATTTGAGCCAACAACGTTCACTTGCACTGTGGTGAAAAAAAGTAGAGACAGATCTGGCTTTTACCGTTGAGTCCGTCCGCCTCTTGCGAGTCGTGGAACGGCGCAGGACCCCAGATACGCACTGTGCCATCGTCTGAGGCGGAAGCAATGAGTCCTGGGATGGCCGGGTTCCAGCTCACACAGTTTACTGTGCGTGTGTGGCCTGTTAGCTCAGCAATGGGAAGCTCGCCACGCCGGTGCCAGATGTACACTTTGTGGTCTGTGGAGGGGGGGGATGACGACATGAAAGTAAAGACGTGAGTGGGAGGGAAAATGAGAACAGAAATAAATGCATTAGTTTAAAGCAAACAAGGGAACAACAGGGTAATGCATTCATTTTTTTCACAAGCCAGGTGATGAACAATCCAAGAACGTCCTTGAAGACTTGAATTAGAAAAACGTTAGCAGATGCAGTTTAAGAGCCACAGTGTTTGACACTGAGCGACATATATTTAATGAAGTATTACAACCTGTAATATTTTGACCGCACCTTCACTGCCACTTGCTATGAAGGCTTCATTGTGTCCTCCAAAGCATGAGTGGATGGTGTAGAAGCCCTGGGTCACACCTTGATACTTTCTCACCAGCACCCTGTCCTGAAGGTCCCACAGGTGTACTCCCTACAAAAGGTAGAATAATACACTGTCACTACTGACATTTCCTGTGTAGTGTTTGTAAAATGTAGTGATTGGACAAAGGTCTTACCTGAGTTGCTACATTTAACAAAGCTAATCTTCCATTCTTTGAAACAGTAAAAGACATAATAGGGTGGTCCTCTTGAACTCTGTAAAGGACATGTAAAAACAGACACAGGCAGTCAGCTACACCCAGTATAATAGAGAGGAAATCTTTGCATTTTGAAGACAGACAGCCTTTCACTTGTACAGTTTGTTTTGCCAACTTGTGCAAGCTTTTCCCAGAATTTGTGGTTGAACTTTCTCTGAAGTGTGTCTTGTCAGACAGCAAGGAGGACAAACCAAATTGGACTGAAAATCAACATTAGAATAATTTTCTTCACAAGAAAATCTGTCATTTTGGAACATGCTAAAATGCTCCTATATACTATACTAAACATTGAACCTTTATCTACACATGCATCAGTACAGGTAGTAGGAAGGTTGACACGCACATGTTTCTGTCCGTAAGGTCCTCAAAGTTGTAACCCCGGATACGCTGGTGGGTGTCCGACGCCAGCACTGTCCTGCCATCACTCAGGCACCACAGGCACTGTACTCTTACGCCCTCCCAGGAGTCCAACAAGTTACCATCTAGGTCCTGACAATGACAGACAGCAGACCCCCCCTCATCTCTTATTCTTGATAGGGGAATGAAAACATGAACAAAGTACAAAAGGACAACCGACAAGTAGATAAGCTTGACACCCAGACTGTGCATCAATCAGAATTAGAAGAACATGTGATTTGATAGTGGCTTTTTTGAATAATTAGGCTGTACTTGTACCTTTTCGCATAAGTCCAAATACTTAACTAAAATATGTGGGAAATACATTGAAATAATCATTTCCAGGGCACCATGTAAACACATTATCAACACCACAGAGACCTGCTCATCTCGATCATTGGGTTCATGGCTGGAAAATCAATACATTGAAAGATATACTTATCTTAACACTACCTGTTTAAAGTCACAGCATTGCATATGATGCAATGGAAAAATGCACTTACTAGCATTTTTAAAACAATAATGTCCAATTCAAATAAATCATTAATTTACTTACACACTGATAAAACTGCCCCCTCTGTCCCCCAGTGACGAAACGTTTGCCATCAGGGTTCCAGGCCACACTGGTCAGACTGTCTTCATGGGACTGGGATATTTTGTTCCGCAGCTCCCCCGTCTGGTGAACAAAAAGATTGACAATGACGGTGGGAGAAAAATGAGGGGGAAGGGAAACAACAAGAAACGTTAAGTACATGTGGGGGAGGGGTGAATAAAAGGAGAAAAAAAGAGGAGGGGATGGGAAGAGCGGAGAGGTCATTGAGTACACACAGTCAACAGAATATCTATGGAAGACTCAATGCATGTTTTTCTTTCCCACTGCCCTGAATATAGATTAGAAGGCTCCAGTGATACGACTCTTTACTTCTCATTTTCACAATCAAGTACGCAGTAAAAAAAAAAAGAGACAGACATATGAAAATACTGTTAGAGGTATCACAAGTAAATGGGGGATTAAAAATAAAGCTGAAAACAGAGAGATGTTACCTGCACATTCCAGAGCCAGAGCTCGGAGCAGTCGTCAGGTCCACAGGCGATCAGATAGGTGTCGTCAGGACTCCAGGCTAAGTAGGAGACTCCATATGCGTGACCGTCGAGGGTTCTCAGCAGCTTCAACTGGTGGCTCTCCTACATGAAGACAGGATTAAGAGGATTATGCTAAAAATTAGATTACAGGTTTTCAAACCAGAGTTAAACCAGCACATTGGTGAAATGTCAAACAGGAAAACAGATACAGCTGTTAGAGAGTATGTAATTGAACATACCATATTTAGAGATACATCTGAAACAACAAAAGGTTGCATTCAAAGACAACACATGTATATCTAGAGTATGACCTTTGCAAACCCCTGAAAAATAAGTTTGTAAGTAATACAGCTGCAGAATATGTGCTTTTAACCATGAAGAAAGAGAAAACAATTCACGGTCATGTGTCAGAAGACAAAACTGCTGGAAAAATGTTTAAGTAGCCCTAATCACTACATTTCAGCAGAATGTAGACTGAATCATAAGAAGAGGCTGTGTGTGTGTTTCTATTTGCATTTTTTGAACTCACCGGGTCCACTTGCCATATTATGACAGTGGTATCTTTGGAGCCAGTGGCTAGTTTGGTGCCATCGTTTGAGAACTTGCAGAACCACACCTCATTACAGTGCTCGGTCAGAATCTGCTGTGTGTAACAGGGGAACTGCTTCCTGTGACAGGGAAATGACCTAGGGTTAGAATCTTCACTGCGTGGTTGGTCCTGGTACCGTTAATTGTCTTTATCTCAAAATGGTGCAACAACAGTAAATTAGTAAATAATAAAGGGAGGACATTTTTAAGGTTAAAACTCATGAAACAAGACTAGTAAGATGATGGAGAGTTGACGGGTTAAGATACCCGATGTGGGAGACAACATGTATAAACACAAATCAAGGTTTTAGTAAATGTGTTGCAACATTATTAACTGATCAGATGCTGCAGTCTGAGTATGCAGGGCCTTTATGGGAGAGCGATATGCTAGCTGTGCAGTACAAACCTGCTGCAGACATGGTCGAGGAGGAGAGAGACTGAGTCTAGGTTACTGTCCATCTTGGTGTTATGATACAGGCAGCGGTCCCTCTGCAGCTCCACTGCTTGCCGCAGCAGGGTCTGCAGCCGCCGCGGGGGCAGCATCACAGACGGTGGCAGGTATGCTACATGGAAAGATTAAAGACTTATTGACCTCCATATGGGTTGTGTGTATAACTCTGTGACGATGTTTGTCAGCTCCTCACTTTGTAATTTGTCCAGCAGTCTGCAGCGTGAAGCGGTGCCCTTGCCCTCCCACTCCGCCTTGGCCCTCAGATCCTCAGCGTGGCTACACATTAGGTACCTGCACAGACGCAACAACACATTTCAAGCGTTTAGCTATTAACCAACTACTACTGTAGTATAACATTTCCCCCATATACCAGACCAGACAAACACGGAATAAAACTTTAGTAGCCTCAAACACAGAATGGTGCAGACTATAAAATGAGGCACCTCAAATGCAGGTGCTGAATGAGGAACAAGCTGGCAGTTATTTCTTTGACACTTTTAAGGACACATTTGGACACAGTTAACAAATTGACCAAGACAGATAACAGATCAATAAATCAATCCTTCAAGTGAGCGACAGACTGTTATAACAAACAGGCTTATAGGTGAAAGCAAGTGCTCAATTCCCTCTAATTAAAAGGCAATAAATGAGAATACTTTTTAGCTGAAAGCATAAAGACAAGGTGTTGATCCGACTATGTATTCAATCATTATATAATGTTGCTAGTGACACTTTTACATTTTATACACTGTGAAAAAAATTAGTGTATTAGTGTATTAGTGAACCAAGCTTGAATAATGTTGAATCAGTCATTGATTTCTAACATGTTGTCAATATAATTGTCATTAGTGCAGGTTCAGACAACAACAAAAGTCATGAGTAAATAACTAGTTTTTAAAAACTCAATGAAACTGACCAAAGCCGTTTCAGACATGACCTGCAGGTACAATCCGGAGAATTGGCACATAAACAACGCAGCGGGAGTTTACCCAGAGTTTGCCTTTCACACATGCACAACGTAGCGGGAGGTTCTCTGCACAGACGCGTTCACAACAGCAACAACTCCTCTGCATTATTCAGTCAAGAGGTGGAGCAACCGGGAGCATCAGACAGAGGCAGGAAGTGACGTATTAACTCTGCTGCGTAGATCACAGGATTTTCTTGACAACACACAGACACTGGTGTCAGCTCTTAACACCACAAACTTCTTTTTGTTTTTCATTTTTGTGCCTGTCGCATGTTAGAAGCGTCATCAACTCTCCCACTCGCTCGCAGTGAATCCACGGGGGATTCCCTGCTGTGTTCACACATGGGATTCTCCTGGATTTCTACAGACATTATGGTAGGAGGCCAGGCAGAAAAACATACCATAGACTTGCACCTCCTCCAGAGAAAATACAGAGGAACTGCGGAGTTCAGTCATGTTTGAAAAAAATTGTGCAATTGTTGAATATGCCAGAAGTGATAAACCAATTAGAACTTAAATGTCAACTATATCATTAGTGATTACAGATGTATCGAAGAGCTACGCACAGTAGCTGTTCTCAGGGTGAACTGTCACGTATCTGCTGTGTGATAGATGCAATATCGAAGTTGTAAAAGTACCCGCTGAGAACGTGGATGCGATCTGTGTTGTACTTGAGAGGCGTCAGCTCTCCCCGCAGCACCTGCAGAGCCTCCAGGACTTTGCCATCCTCCAGATACTCCAGGTACTTCTGCTGCAGCAGTAGGAACTTCATACGCTGAGCAGAGAAAGAGAAACAAGAGATTTTATAAGAAATGACAACAGTAGAGAAGGAAGAAGGATAAGACTGAACTACAGATTAGTACTATTATTATGGGGCATAAATGTTCACACTTCTACGGGTGTAGCTGAACACTGACATCACCTAATTCCCAACATGAAATTTATGCTGTCATCTGTATCTAAACTAGCTGTACCATATTCCAAAGGCTGGATGACCTCATGAGAATATATTTATAGATGTGCACAAGCCATATGGAAATGTCAACATCAGCAGCCTTCATACTGAAGATCACTGGCAAGTGTTTATCAGTTGCTGCCGCTGGTCATCATTGACATTTGTCATATAAAGTGTCTCTGTTTTATCTCAGGTATGCAGTAAGAGTCACAGCTCTGACAACTGGTGCAACTGCAGTGACACCTCCTGCACATGAACCCACGAAAACATCCACCCACGAATGGTGGTTGCAGCTACACAGACTTCTAACATCTGACTGAGGCACAGGGGAACATTATGAAGGTAATTTTGTCAGCTATTTAGCATTCTAGCAAAGGCTAATTAACCTGAGCTGAGTCTAAGGAGTGTATGAAGTATTTGATGTTAAACTGTTTAGTCAGTTAAAGAGGCAAGTAACTATGCAAGTTGTTTCTCTTTCAGTAAAACCTGAATAAACAATATTTCAAATTCAGACAACGAATCATCTTTCAATCAAACATAATGGGTTCATTTTTTAACAGGGTTGCAAAACATAATTGATTAGTCTGCCATGATATTCTCAATAATAATAATTTCTCAAAAACAATAATTTGATTCATAAAATGTCAGAAAACTGTGGAACCTTCTGATCACAAGTATCTACAGAAGGTGACTTCTTTAAATTGCCTGTGTTGTTTCACAAACACTTGAAATATCCGACCAGCCAACCTTTAGTACCACTTAAGCAACTGAAATGATCAAAAATCTTTGCAATTGGTGCTTGAAAAACAATAATTCTATAGCCAAATTAATCTCAGAATAATCTTCAGTTGTTAATCAAATCGATTAATAAGCCTTTTCAACCGACTCAAACATCATTCCCTGATCCGACAGGACATCCATTCCTGTTGCTACACTTTCCCAGGCTTCATCCAGAACATTTTAGAGTTCACTGTTCCACAACAAGAACATGCAGCTCTGCATTATAACGTATTATATTCTGGAACCTCCAGCTGTGCCTGCTAACTGACCGAATGACTGTCATTCAGCCTGATGGTTCAGGTTTGGGCAAAGGGAGCTTACCACAATAGCATTGGGAGAATGCATCAGTGCTCTCAGCTCGTTGAGATCATTCTCAGCCTGGTCCAAAACAAAGGGAGGTTGATAGAGGGAAGAGAGAGAGGGAGAGAAATGGGTTAGCTCAGCAGTTTCCATACATGTCCAGGAAAACAAAAAATTAAAAGGAAGAGTTATACACATCTATGGTCCCATTAATATTTAAGATGAGTAAACAGAGGCTTTAACAATGACTGAAATGCAACAAAGCACCTTTGTGTCTCTTAATAAAACACTCCCCACTTTTACTATGTGCTTCTAAAATTTAATTTTAGGATCAAAACGAGTGTCAATTGAATGGCTGCTTTTCTATTGGTTTGTAGAGAGTTCAAACCTACGTGCCACATTCAAAGATTTATCACCGCTCAGCTCAAGGCTGAATTAATTTTCCAGCCGTCAGTTGTGACATGCGTTCATTATTCCAGAAGATTCACAAGGCAGCTGAGATCTATTCTGTTGTAAGAATGGTTTAATACAACTAGGACTGGTGATTTAAAAGCCAAGTAATTATTTAAAACTAATGTTTTCAAATTCCACAGATCTAATGAAACCCTCACACAACACCTCAACAATTATGCTGCTTGTGCTTTGGGTGTTCTGATTAACATTAATTATGATGTTTGATATGCATAAAACAAGGCATGTGCCCTATTATTTTGTTACAAAGCAGCATGGTATGGTTTGCCAGACCTTGCAGGCATAATACTGAGTGGTTTTGCTTTTATAATTTACTGCTCCTTCAATATTTAACAACTGACCAGCCTCAGAGGCTTAAAGTAAAGTCTTCCAGTCACCAAAAATCAGATTTCTTCCCTGACCTCTAACAGTTAATAAACATATAAAATATTTTCTGACAAATATAAATTGAAATCATTTTGTGCTTGGACATTCCTTACAGCTATGTGTACAAGAGTTTCCAATTCCAAAGTCAAGGAAATAGTTTCATGTCAAATTTCTGTCACTTCAAAGGAACTTGTGAATGTGTACACGTCCTGTAAAAAGTCTGAATGCAGACTTAATGTACTTTACTAATTCATATTAGATGCATCTGAGCTTTCTTGTCCAAGCTCTCCATGTTACAGCACAATATGGACAACAGATCCCAAAAATGTGTCACTAATTCCCAAGCCATAGAGTGCTTGGTGTTATGTAACCATGGCAACGCATGACCAACCTTGTCCCATTCCCCCTCCATGACATGGTTGCGGAACTTGGTAGCCGACGAATGTTCCAGTCTGCAGCCTGACTCCTGCATCAGCAGGTCCACTGTCTGACTGCGGAGACAGAGAGGAAGACAAAGTGAGACCGACATATAGACACACAGTGGATAAGATGAAAGAAAGGAGAGGGTGACTTTTAAAATGACATTAAGTTGAAGAGTAGAGCCAAAGAAAATGTGAGCTCAATCACCATGGTGTTGAAAGGCCAGGATTACATGATTATATGAAATTACATTTCCAGGTAGTATATTCAACTTTTATTAGTGATCTAATCATTTATTACATTTCACCGTGTGAGATAAAGTCTTATTTTTTTTAAGCAAACAGGTGAGTTGTTGTGACTTACAACAGTTTTAGCATAGGGACAATATTAACATGACATTAAAAGAAGCCTTCTCAGATCATTATTTGTGGACAATGGCAGGTCCACTTGCATGAACCTGGCCTGCACTGCAGTTGAGATTATCCTTTCAGAGCCTGTCAGCCATGAACCATGTCCATCTGTCCAAACACCACCATCTTAGCTAAACACATGCCACCAACACAAACAGGTCAGCGGAGAAGCGTCTGATTAGTGTGTGTGTGTGTGTGTGAGAGAGATAATGTAAGTGGGATGGGGATGGGGGTGCTGACACCTTCAGCAGCATGATGACATCATTCCCAGGTATCAATGGAGTGGCGCAGCAGCTCAGCCTTTTCATCCAGCTGGCTGCTACCATTCCACTTGTGTTTTCCCCACTGAAACGCAGGGGCTCCGTTTCATAGAAGGTAATGCCATGCACCCCCACCCCCCTCTCTGTAAACACAGTGCTGTTAGGTTGTCTTCCATAATGCCTTATTATGGAAGGCTACTCTTTCTCAGCTGGATAGCAGAGACCCAGGGGTGTGTAGTCATCCAACAGCCACTTTGAAGAAGAGGGTTTAAACATTCCTTCATATATTAAAAACTGGATTTGAACACTTTCTACATCAGCTGCTGTAAAGCACATTCTGTTCAACCCAGGACTATTGACTGCTGCTGCCTTTAGATAAACACATGACCCGCTCTGTTCCCGACTGACTCTTTTGACACTTGGCAGTGACACACAGATAAGTAATAAAAGACACGGATCTACTGGTCAAATCATCACGTTCGGATAAAATGGTGATGAATGTGGTGAATAACAGAGACGCTGGAGATGACAGCTGAAAACGTGCGCAGAGTGCACCCTGAATACCAAAATAACCACCACGGATTTCATAACCGTGCTCGTTATTACAGTGTGGCCCGACCTATTAAATGTTCCTCCCGTAGACTCACACACAATAAGAGCCGTGTTATGTCTCCCCCCCTCCCTTCCTTGGCAATCCAAGCTGGAAAAACGCAGAAAACCACCGACATTGACAAACCGCACATTAACATTTCCTCCGCATTTTTTTTTTTTTTTGCGCAATAGCCACAAAAATAAACACTCGACAATCCTGCTCATGTGCTTAAAATAAGAAGCTAAATCAAGTTCGTCCATTCTCATGACCCTGGTGTTACGCTTTGCAGACCACAACAAGTCTCCTTTCCCAGAGTAAACCCTGAGATTCTAACGTTAGATGATGTAATGCCTTTAATTCACTGCTAAATCTACAACGTTAATTAGAGCATCGCGGCGCTGCAGCCATTTAACGCACATCTAAGCCCACGACGGTTTCACGAAGCTGCCAAATGTTGGATTGTGTTCCATGTTTGCGTTTAAAGGGTTTAAAGCCAGGACACAACACCTCAGCGCAGGCTAGTGCTGTTAGCAATCAAGCTAACTGTTTTATTGTGCAAGATGGACCCCTTCTTTCTACCAACAGCCGAGCTCACAGGCTAACTACCCCATCCCCCCATGTTTGTGTCTGTCAGGCTCACGGATGGAACCGTACCAGCTGCAGTTTCACACTTTCGCACCAGAAACCAGTAAAATCCATCACACCTCTCGCGATCAACCCGGGGGTTACACGCGTTTGTGTGTTTTCCCTCGACTGACACGCTGAATAAACTTACTTTAGCCCCAGTCCGTGGAGATGTTGCCCTATTAATCGTATGACATCTTCCTCCGCCTGCGAGAGTCGTTTCTTCTTCTTCAGCGAACCGACCTCGGAGGCCGAAGTCGTGGAGGCAGACGAAGTCCCCGAACCGGGCCCACTCGAGGACCCGTTACTGGTACCGACACTGTTCCCGTTGTCTGTGCTGGAGAGCAGACCGTTGGAGTGGCTTCCGCCGGCCGTGGATGACTCCCCGTTTTGTGCGCTGTTCAGGCAGGAAAGCTCCGAGGATTCTTGTCCCTGTCCTGCCCCGTTTGCCTGCATGCTGCCGCTGAGGATGTTGACGACGCTTCGGTTGAACTGGATGGCGGAGGTGGCTTGAGAGTGCGGGGAGTGCGAAGCAAGTCCTAGGGCAACTCCGGAGAGGCCTGTCACAACTGCTGAAGCCCCGGGCTCTCCTGCTCCCTCCGCCGCCGAGGCTCGGTGCTTCTTCCGCGGGGGCGGCGACGCACCGCCGGTGTCCGAGTCGGAGGAGGAGGAAGCGGAGGCCAGAGTTTCCTCACCGAGAGCGGCCGTGGTTAGAAGCCGGCGGAGCTCCGGGTGGGAAATGGAGGTTGCGCTTCCAGGTTTGAGGGCTCGTTGTCGGGCTGTGGACGGACTGTCACTCCGGCGGCCCTGACAGTTCGCCCGTTTTTGTTGTTGTTTCTCTCCAAACAGCTGCAGCTCTAATGGAGTCCTCACGCCCTGACGTAACCGGAAATTCCTACACTACCAAGCTTCCGGGTAGAATATAATCCATGGGTGGTGCATAAGAATTTAGTTTAAAGATCATCTGACAACAAGAAGACATAATAATCTCATCTCTGTTTGTTTGGACAGATAATTAACATCATTTCAGGAATTTGACATCAGCATAACGGGTCGTGTTGTCTTCGTCCAGTTTATTGTTATTATGATTGCGCTATTTTGAAAGTGAACGATTCCCCCCACAGTAAATCATGTGGCACAAAATTAATCCTCAGAAAAATATAAATTCAATTAAAAGTAAAGTAATATTCATTAAAAAAAAACTAGAGAAACTGATTAGAATTAAATTCAACCCCCAACCAAAAAACTTCCTTTGCAAAAAAATGTAATCAACAAGTGAGCACACATATTTTCAGCTTTAATTATTTAATCATTCATTTCTTTTGTTATTTTCTCTCAATGGATTAATCGTTTGTTTTTAAACTCAAACCAACTGAATTAAATCAACAGTTTATTATTGCTGCACTATTTCTAAACTAAACCATTCATCACAATAAATCATGTGGAACCAAATTAATCCTCTAAAAAGGAGATAAAATGTATTAATCAAATCCTCATATTTGAGAAGCTGGAAGCCCCAAATGTTTGACATTTTGCTTAAAACCGAGTACAGCTTACCAACAAAATATTTGCAGGATAATTTTGTATCAATCAACTGATCAGTTTTGACTTGTTGTTGCAGTTATAGTTGGAATCCAGAAACAATGTTCTGTGTGCATTTGAAAAAATCTGCACAATCTGAAATGTCAAAATGTCTTGTCACTTTTTCTCAACCAGCTTTAATTACTGTATGAATCTTTGACAAAAGTAATCTGCCAAACTTTTTATAAAAACCAACATACTTTACATGGCAAACATGTCTAATTTACAAATTGCAGATAAACACTGACTTTTATATAGATTTTTTTAGGGCCCTCTTTGTGTTGGGTACTTCTACTTTCCATGGATATAGTTACACTATTGCCTTCACTTCAACTCATCTGAGAGTACTTGAATATATTCTATACATTATGCAGCTTTAAGCTGCTCCCTCAAACTACGCAAAGCTCAGAGTTTTGATAACAAATATTAGTAACACTTAATTTATACATAATTTAAAAAAACAGTAATATCATTGTTCTGATTATTAATATTAATTTAATATATGTCATACTTTTTCTTAGGTAAATTAAATATATATAGAGAAACACTAACAAAATAGGACCCTTCTTATTGCAGACATTTAAATAGTCATAGCTGTAACAGCTCAGGTCTAACTAATATAATTAACCTGTCTAAGTGTGCCGTTCTAGCGACCTGGTCTGCATAATAAGAGCTGGGTTTCAATTGTTTTGGTTTTTGGTAGCAGGCCCTGTGTGCAAATGAATCAATTAATGAATGAATAAACAAGCATCAAGTGGCCTAAGAATATTCCATTGTATTCATAATTAGATAAGTTATCAAAGTAGTCAGTTCACATTACCAATCAGACTAAATTAATGAATAAATAATGAATGCCTCTGGTGCCTTTAGCATAGATAATTAATTGTGATTATTTTCCAGCAAAACAAATTGTGATTACAAATCTTACATGTGTCATCCTCATCTGATTAATCCAGACCCCTCCACATAAAAGCTGCATGTGTTAAATAACTGTCTCTAGACCCCAGATCCACCTTCTAACAAAACCATCTACATCCTGTGGCAAGAACAACTTACCAAGTTTAGTGCAAACATTTTTTATTAACACAGTATAAATACAGTTTGATCAACCTACATTATTTTACAAAACCTTGCCTAGAGGGAAAACAACATAGGAAAGTAATTTATTTAGACTGTTTCAAGCTTGTAATCCACATAGCACTCTATCAGTCAAGTACAAATCTTTTATGCAGAATTCATGTGAGATATTAAAGTGTATCCCTGAATTATATACAGCTACAAAATCCCTTTCTGTTCTTAAACTTCTTTGTTGGTGAAGTTATATTTCACTGTTATAATGCTCATGATATTATTGTGTTGTGTTGGTCTACCTCCATAAGCTTTACATTGCTACAGTTATGTATGAAAAAGGTCTAAAAAATGTGTATATGAGAGAAATGGAGCAACATGGTCGTCTTGCCCAGGCTTATCTTCGTGTTCATGACGTTTCCGCTGGTGAAATTAATCAAGAAACGTCCCCAACCTGGTGTGGAAGAGCAGTGGTCACTGGGCCACCATTGTTATTGCGATTGTCTTTGCCCTTCATGAAGAATGTCAGCAGCTCCCCTTTCCCTTTCACAAATATGGGCCCTCTTCGGACAAAGCGGAAGCCATATCCCTTCAAGATGTCATAGCAGCTTTCCACCACCTGAGGGCAGAAAAAGAAAGTTTGAGGGAATTAATAGTAGATGTTCCTGTGTGTGAGTGCATGCGAGCATGCGTGCGTGCGTGCGTGCTACCTGGATGTTTCCCATCACTCCAGTGGACTCCATTCTGCTGGCTACATTGACTGTGTTGCCCCAGATGTCATAGTGAGGTTTACGAGCTCCAATCACTCCCGCCAGAACTCCTCCCTTGTTCAGACCTGAGGGGGATCATCACAGAAATATCAATAAACAAGACAGACACACACTCACACACACACACACACACTGACCGATTCGGAGCATAAAGTTGTTGAAGGACTGTTTGTTGAGATTGTTGAGGGTGACTTTCATGGCCAAGGCAAAGTCTGCCAGGTCAGCGAGGTGCTGCCAGCGCTCAATCACAGACTGGTCCTCTGGCTGTGGAACAACGGGATGTATTTTTAAAGATGACCGTCATCAGCAGCTGATTGTTCTATTTGCAACAAGCTGCATTTGTAAGGTAGAAGCTGTAGACATGTCACACCTTGCGGTTGCTGTAGCCATTGGTGTTGCTCTCAGGAGTAAGTCCTGATGCAGCCATGTAGGTGCTTCCTATTGTCTTGATCTTAGTAATGAAGCGGAACTCGTCCCTGTCCAGCAACTGTTTGGGAAAGTGGGCATCATATAGTCGTAGGCATTTAAACCGTCTTTAGTTCATTGTAAACATGATGTCACATCAGAGTAGAACTGCTAAATCACAATATTTACCACCGTTTTTAGAAATACTGCCAGAACTCACGCTGTCAAAGTCAGAGATGATCTCGTTGAGTATCCTGAGGCACTCGAGGCCTCCATTGTTGATGCTCTCTTCAGTGTAGAAGTCAGAAAAGTTGGGGATGGAAGCAAACATCACACCTATTTCATCATAAGACTGACTGTACAGCTCCTATAAATAATGAATGAAGATGTTAGTTTGCTCTCAATTTATATCTCTATTCATTTCTCTGATAAAACCCATTATTAAAAAAAAACACCAGAGCACTAATATGTTTTTATGAAATCTACCACAAGATGGCACTGTTATGCAATGAATTGCATTTTAGGTGTCACATATCGTACCATCTTTATTTTAGGTGAAAGGGATCTATTGGCAGAAATTGAAAATAAAATAATCATAGGGATGTTTTCACTAGTGTGTTTCATCTAAATTGTACAAATGCATTTTTTCTTTACCCTAGAATGGGCCCCTAAAACACCTACATATCTAAATTATACTATAACTCATACTGTATGTACCTCATCTCTCTTCTTGGTGCCCAGGAAGTGTTTGGCCACATGTTCGGGCAGCATGTTGGTGACCAGGGCTTCGTTCCAGCGTCTCATCTCAAACACTTTCTCCTTCTGGTCATGGACGCCAATCTTCCACAGGAACAGCTTTCTGGACTGACGCTCCAGCTGCATACACACGCACACCATGAAAAAGATGAGAGGAGGTCGGCAAGATATTTAGATGGACAATCCATCCATCCATCAATCTGGTCTGTCAAAGCAAATGGAGTCACATTGTCTGTAAAGAGCAGAGAGGAAATTTTGAGACCCCGATGTGTGACACTGTGTGGGTGGGCAGCACAGTGACTTACATGGCGAGCGAAGAAGTAGAAACAAATCATCATGATGATAATCATCATGGTCATCAGATACTTAGATGGCACTATAGACGTTCTGAAAACACAAAGACACAACAATTTAGCAATAACGCATTTAGCTTTATGTGCTGTTTATCAAAATGTATTTATTTAATAATATGAATTTTCATACACAGTAAAATCCGTCAATCGTGGTTCCGTTTGACTAATTTCTCACCTGTAGGTGGCAAACTGTATGTAGTCATAAAGGTCATAAATGTCCCTCCAGCTGTAGATGTTCACGGCTCCAGTTGCCGTCACAACCAGCACCATGAGGCCCAGTTTAATCAGCTGGCTGACCTGCACCAACATGGCAGTTGCGATGAGTGACATCACAGCCATGAAGCTGTAGTGCTTTGGATTTTCTGCACAGCTTTGGTCACCGACTGACTCCAAGATGGTGCCGGAGGTGCTGTTGAAGACCTGGATGGCTGGTGGGCTGCAACTTAACTGCAGCATCAAAAAGAAACAGAGTGAGTGATAATAAGTGAACAACTCTTATGTGTCTTTTTTTGTTTGTGTGTGTGTGTTATTTGTAGCATGAAAACTCTTTCAGTAAATTATTTTTTAAATTTTATTAAGGTCAAACATGAACCTGGCTAAGACACATTTAAAACATAATTTGTAGTTTTAACATATGAAGAGTTGGTGATACAATATGCTGTGAAAGAAGCTGCTACCATGGCAACAATAGGAGCAGTAAAACACCGTCAATTCCTTTCTTTTTTCCAAGTGTGACTGTCAGTCACCTTAACGTGACAGCTAACACAGACAAATGAATGTTCACTTTGGCGTCGTCAGACTGTGAAGGCAGCGGTGTGTGTAACAAGCTGCTCCTGTGGGGCCGTGCCACATGAACCAGCAGGCGGCAAGACAGACGGCTAATGGACCCCACTGGGAACATGTAGTCAGACACATAAAAGCCAGTGATAGTTTGATGAGGACAAGGTGGAAACACACAACTGGAG